CATAGACATATCTAATCGTTCAGCCTGTGCACCCATATACCCACCCATATATCCATATTTGCCATCACTGACAATGCAGTACTGTATGTGCAAAAGGGTTCATCTTTGTTGTCTGCACCTCCCATGCACCTCTCTATGTCTTCCTCTTCCTTAATGCGGCCTGTTGGTCACTCACATTTGGTACATTGCCCTTCTTTTCACCCAAATCAATACTTATCTCTACCTATCTAGCAGTGTTCCCTCCCCTCCCCTCTCACCCCTGGAAACGGACAAAGAAAATTTCCTTCCATATATAAACCCTCCCTTCTAATTTTTTAAGGAAGCAACATACTATTTCCCACAGTGATTGTAACCAAAAGTACTCTAAATTTTCAAAAGTCCCAGGAGGAAAACTACAGTCTAGTGTGAGGACTGGGGCGCCTGGGCTGCCAGTTAGCGGTCCCTTTTAAGATAACCAACCTCCTCAGGTCCTTACAAAAAGCTCCCAAGTATGCATTTGGGACTCGAGGCCCCGCCCCCAGAGGCCCCGCCCCGTCACGTCGACATGTGCGCAATGACAGGTATGGAGCGCCTTGCACATGCGCATTTGTCCAGCACAATCAAAGAGACACGCACGCGACCCGGAAGACTTTCCAGCTACTCTCCGGATCCAGCGTGAGGGGGGCCGATGGCGGAGGGAGCGGCGGATGAGGCCTCAGTAGACGGTGGTGGAGATTCCACAGCCAGCGCGCCAGAACGGGGAGTGGCGCCCATTAAATCTCAGTGAGTCGCTGGAACCGGGGGAAACCGCTTAAGGACTTCCCGGCATCCATAGCGGGGCGCAAGCGGTGCATGCCGGGAGATGGGGCAGCGGCGGTGGGAGGGAAGCTCGCAGCCTTTTTAATCGGAGCCATTCCTCCGCCTCGCAAGGTCAACAGGGAGACCTGAGATCTCGCACGTTGTGGGCTGTCACATGCGCGAAGGACACCAAGGGGCATGCCGGAGTGGGCGGTGTTTGAGGAGGAGGCCGCAATGCATTCTGGGGCTTGCAGTGTTTGAAAGAATAGCCGAAGGTTATGCTGGGAAATGTAGCTATGTGGTCCATCCTGCAAGGCATCCTGGGATTTGTAGTTTTCCTTCGTTCAACGTGACCGGGGTTTATTGCTGTTGTTGTTGTTGGGCTGTTGTGATGTGCCCTCGAGTCGGACCCGACTCATAGCGACCCCTCCTTGGGTTTCCGAGCCGATATCACTACGGAAGTAGATTGACCCATCTTCCTTCGGAGGAGTGGCTGGTGGGTTTGAACCGCCAGCCTTCTGGTTAGCTGTCAAGTGCCTTGGGCACTATGCTACTAGAGCTCCTTGCCTCTACAGACTCTGGGTAGTAACGCCGCAGGGATAAAACAGGTCCTTCTTTGGCCTTGAGGTGCGCCAAGGCTGAAGCTGGCTGGTCCTGAGTAGTGAAACTTCCCGTTAACAAAAGCGTTTTAGCAGGGGCCATTGTTCTCACTCCCCCTTCCCCAGTGTTCATTGAATCTGAGCTCAGAGGAGGGACTCCTGGACCACCCTCCTTTCCCTACCGTCTTCGCTGGCAGGTACCTCACCACCAAGGAGCAGTTTCACGAATTCCTGGAAGCCAGAGGGCAGAAGAAGGCCTCCAGGGAAACAGAGGCAGTGGAACCTGATGGCTGTGACCTGGCTGAGCCTGAGGCCAAGCGGGTCCGGCTGGAGGATGGGCAGACGGAAGATGAACAGAAGGAGAAGGCAGCTGAGCTCCAGGAGCAGCCACCGGCTCAGAAAAGGGCCCGAGGCCAGAACAAGGGCCGGCCTCACCTGAAGCCCAACCACTATGATGGGGACAGGCTCTGCCCCTCCCTGGTCCAGGTGAATGTGACCACATGGGGCTCTCCACTGGGGTAACTCTGCTAGAAAGTTATAGAGGACTTCAGTGTGCAGCTCCCTGTTCCCTGTTTAGTCCCTGTGATGTCATGAAGTACGTATCCTTACTGTTCCCATTCTACAGAACAGGAAACCATAGCACAGTGTGGTTACTGACTTGTGCACAAACACACAGCCAAGAGGGGGTCAGAGCTCAGACCCAGGCTGCCCTCCTTCATGCTCTCCCCTTATATCCCTTCAGGGGTCAGCCACCAAGTGTTTCTATGGCGACCGCTGCCGTTTCCAGCACGATGTGGGCCTCTACCTGGAGAACAAGCCAGCTGACCTAGGCCCCCACTGCGTGCTGTTTGAGACCTTCGGCAAGTGCCCCTATGGCGTGACCTGCCGTTTCGCTGGGGCCCACCTGGGACCTGAGGGCCAGAACCTCATTCGGGAGGAGGTGGTGGCCCGAGGGGCCCAACCCCCACCCGTCCGAAACGGCCTGGACAAGGCCCTACAGCAGCAGCTGCGGAAGCGCAAAGTCTGCTTCGAGCGGGCCGAGCAGGCCCTTCGCCAGTTAAGCCAGGGCCAGCCTCCAGGCCTCACCTCTGCTGCCACTGCGCCTGTCACCCCTGAGGGCCCCGTGGCTGAGGGTGCTCCCGGGCAGGGCAGCGGTGATGCTCAGCAGGCCCTTCCCAGCAGTCCTGTGCAGACCTGTGGAACCCTGACAGATGAGGACATAGTCAGGCTGAGGCCCTGTGAGAAGAAGCGGGTATGTGATAAGTAGTGCCTTCTCAGACTCCCTTTCCATGCTCCATTGCTCAAGAAGCCCCAGTCTGGGGGCAAGGAAGAGCTGTCTATGTGTGCCCAGTCCCAGAGGGTCAGGGCTGGGGCAGAGGGGAGCAGTGGGGAAGAGAGGGCATAGGGACTGGGGCTTTGACGATTGAGTAAGAGCTTTCTAATAGAGTGGAAGTGGGGGAAGAGCGGAGGCTTGAGAGGCCTCAGGCCCCAGGTAGGAGGGTTGGGCTTCAATGTGCTTTTTTTTCCCCTCAAGCTGGACATTGGTGGCAAATTGTACCTGGCACCCCTCACCACGGTAGGAGGCAGGTGGGGTGGGGCAGGTGGTGGTGGCACGGTCACCCCAACAGTGCCAAGTGCCCAGTGTCTGTCCCCACCTGGGGGTCCTCAGGGCTTGGCTCGGTGTCTGGGGTTGCCACCTGCTATGCTCTCATGAAGCCCCGCCCCGCTGCCCCCAGTGCGGGAACCTGCCGTTCCGACGGATCTGCAAGCGCTTCGGGGCAGACGTGACCTGCGGGGAGATGGCTGTCTGCACCAGCCTGCTGCAGGGCCAGACATCTGAGTGGGCCTTGCTCAAACGGCACCACAGCGAGGACCTCTTTGGGGTGCAGGTCAGTGACCACCCTGAGGGAGAGGGCAGGGGAGGGAGCAGGCCAGCAGGGGTGAGGCTCACCTAGGCCTGACCCACCCCAAAGGGTGGGTGGTCTTAGCATAGGGCCAGGTACCTTGAAGGTGCCAGCTCCTTCCATCCCCTGAGGACCCTGGGGGCCCAGGGACAGGAAGCCACTGGCTGGAGCCCTGCGGTGGACGTGCCCATCACCCTGCCCTGCCTCCACGCAGCTCGAGGGTGCCTTCCCAGACACCATGACCCGGTGCGCGGAGCTGCTGAACCGCACCATTGAGGTGGACTTCGTGGACATCAACGTCGGCTGCCCTATCGACCTTGTGTACAAAAAGGTGGTGGCCCCTGGCCCAGGAGTCCCAGGCGGGCAGGCAAAGCATAGGGCGGAGGTCTGGGGCTCTGGCCACTGGCAGATGCCATTCCTTGTGTTCCCCAGCTGAACCAGCCTGCAGGGTGGGGCTTGTGGGCATGTGTATGGCCCTGTGGGGCTCTGAGGGTCTCCCTGGGCCTCACATGTCCGTGTGTCCTGTTACTGAGGGTGTGGGGCAGCGGCCAGCCTGGGTCTGCGCTCACTCGGCCCCTTCCTCTCAGGGCGGAGGCTGCGCCCTCATGAGCCGCGCCACCAAGTTCCGTCAGATCGTCCTCGGCATGAACCAGGTGCACCCCGTGTTGGCCCACACCCCCACGTCCTCCCCTCTCAGCTTGGCCCCCAACCGCACCCCCAACCCTCCACCATCCCTGCAGGTGCTGGACGTACCGCTGACGGTGAAGATCCGCACGGGTGTCCAGGAGCGGACCAACCTGGCCCATCGCCTGCTGCCGGAGCTGCGGACCTGGGGCGCGGCACTGGTCACGGTGGGTCCCTGGGAGCAGGCATCGGGGCCTCCGGGCAGGAGGCCTCCCTGCTAATGGTCCTTCCCACTTCCTCTACATCTCTGACTCCTCTGTGTCTCTCTGAACCTCTCCTTTTTGTCTCTGTGTCTCTTGTCAACGGCTCTCTCTCTCTTTCTCTGACGGTGTCTCTGTACGGTCTTGCTCCGACTCTGTCTCTTGTCGCTGTGTCTGTGTCTGAGGCTTTGTCTCCACATCTGTCTTGTCTCTGACTGTCTCTCTCTCTGTGACTCTCTCCCTCTCAGTCTGTCTCTCTCGGTCTCCCTCTGCCTCCCTCCCTCTGCGGCTGCTTCTCCTCCAGCTCCATGGCCGTTCACGGGAGCAGCGCTACACCAAGCTGGCTGACTGGCAGTACATTGAGCAGTGCGTGAAGGCCGCCAGCCCCATGCCCCTGTTTGGTGGGTGCCCAGACCTCCCTGCCCACTGCCCTCCCCGTGAACCACCCATGCAGTGCCTGGAGACCCGCGCCTCTGTCTCCTCAGGAAATGGGGACATCTTGTCGTATGAGGATGCCAACCGCGCCATGCAGACTGGTGTCACTGGCGTCATGATTGCCCGGTGAGTGAGCCCGGGTGCACCCCAGCTGACCTGCACTTCCCCCCGCCCCCCACCCAGTGTGCTGCTCTTCCATCCAGGGCAAAACAAGGCCGGGCTTTGTAGTTCAGGGGCCTGGCAGCTTCTACAGCTGGTTGTCATGGACTGAAATTTTGGGACTTGGATGGTCACATGACCACATCTGTGCTGTTTCGGATTGGAGGCATTGGGGTTTAGGGCTCTGGCTTAGGCTGGGTCTAGCAGCCTAAGGAGCCGTGCAGCTTGGGCCAAACTCAGGCTGGGGGGGGGTGTGGGTGTGGGGGCAGCGGCCCCATGGCAGGTGGGGGCCGAGGTCTCAGGCCCAGGCCGGGTGGTGGGTGTGGGGGCAGCGGCCCCTCGGCAGGTGGGGGCTGGGGTCTCGGGCTCAGGCCAGGCAGTCAGTATGGGCTTGGCAGCTGCCCCTGGGCCCTAACCATTTGGGGCAGCGATGGCTGCCTGTAACCATCCCACCCACTGGCAGCGGCGCGCTGCTCAAGCCGTGGCTGTTCACGGAGATCAAGGAGCAGCGCCACTGGGACATCTCGTCGTCCGAGCGCCTGGACATCCTGCGGGACTTCACACACTACGGCCTGGAGCACTGGGGCTCGGATACACAGGGCGTGGAGAAGACCCGCCGCTTCCTGCTTGAGTGGCTCTCCTTCCTGTGCAGGTGGGGCTGGCGGGTGGCTGGCGGGCAGAGACCGGCTCCAGCCTGGGCCCCCACCCCTGGTCACCCTGCTCTCCTGCAGGTATGTGCCGGTGGGCCTGCTGGAGCGGCTGCCACAGAAGATCAACGAGCGGCCCCCGTACTACTTGGGTCGTGACTACCTGGAGACGCTCATGGCCAGCCAGAACTCGGCCGACTGGGTTCGCATCAGGTGGGCCCTGCTGCAGGGGCGGGGGATGGCTGGGCAGGGCGTGTGCTGGGGGGGGGGGTGCACTTGCACCTGAACCTGACCCCGCCCATTCCTCACAGTGAGATGCTGCTGGGACCCGTGCCACCCACCTTCGTCTTTCTGCCCAAGCACAAGGCCAACTCATATAAGTAGCTGCCAGGCCAGGTGGCGGGCAGTGTTTGAGTGCACTGGGTTCCCTGAGTGTGTGAAGCAGACAATAAATTTTATTCTTTTAACTTTGAGGCCCTTCTGTGACCCTGAGGCTACCCCATCCTGGCCCCTAGTCTATCTCGACACACCCAGGCCTGTCCCTGTCCCCACTGTGCTGTGGGTGGCCAGACCCAGGGGTCTCCCTCCTCTGGCCCCCTGTTTGCTTCTCGTCAGTCAGCAGGCTCCACATGCCCAAGTCCATGCTGGGGGGTGCTGGTTTCAGGCCGTGACCCCTGAGGAAGACAGGGAGGGGACTGGGACTGGGGCCTGTGTGGGTGCAGATCAGGGCAGGCTGCCTGGAGGAAGTGGCCTGGAACAGTTAGGTGGGTCCTGTGGGTGCAGGTGGAGAAGCAGAGGAGCTTCCCACCCTTGGTGATACTGCCTTTGATCGGCCTCAGCTCGCCATCTGCCTCCTGCCCACCCCCACCCCCACCCCCTGTACCTGGAATCCTGGCCACTGGATGGGTGGCTGCCTAGAACCCACTGCCCAGGGTAACCAGGCAAACAGAACTCTGCAGGACTCAGAGCTTGCTCTCTGGGTGGGCCGCCTGCGCTCCCACTGTCTCCCTCCTGGCTGGCCTGGGCTGGGCTCCTTACCTCCCTATGCAGCACCCCAAGCCCTTCTATGCACCCTCTGCTCCCCAAGAAGGCTTCAGCCCCCAGGGTCTGGACAGCACCGAGGGCCCAGCCAGGCAGCCTGCGGCCTGTGCGGAGGCACTCCCAGCAGTGGGTAAGGGACCCCCCAGGGCAGCACAGGGTGGGACAGGGGCCCAGGGCCCTGCCCATCCAACTCAGGACCTACCCACTGCTTCTGTCTGCAGGTTCCTCCAGCCTGTATCACTCCCCAAACCCGGAGAAAGAGGTGTTTCCAGCCCCTCCCGCAGGTACTGGCTTCCCCTCACTCTCAGGACCTGGGGTGTGGGGTTCAAGTGGGCAGAGCCCAGCCTTCCCTGCCTGCTGGACCATAGCAGGACCCGTGAGGGCAGGACCCATGTCCCTGTGCCCTGGTGGAACAGGAAGGCAAGGCCTGCGTCCCTGACTCCCAGTAGGTCCCCTAGGACACAAAGTGTGTCCTTGTCCCCAGTGGGTCCCCCAGACAAGACCTGTCCCCCCGTTCCCAGTGAGCCCCACAGAAGGCCCATGACCTTGTCACCAGCAGGCCCCCCAGGATGAGGCCTGTGACCCCGTGCCTAGTGAGCCTTCCAGGACAAGGCCCATGACCCTGTGCCTGGTGGGCCCCAGTCCCCCTTCCCCAGTGGCCCCCTGGACACGGCCTGTGCCCTGACGGGAGCCCTCTCAGGCCCCCACCCCCGGCCGCAGGTCTCCAGATGGCTCCGTGTGGCTGCTTCTTTGACCCCCGCATCTACCGCATCGAGTGGGCCACCTCTGATTTTGGCCAGTCAGCCCTGTACAAGCTGGTGGTGGCGGGCGGCGGGCCAGCAGGGGGCCCAGCTGGGGGCCCCGCCTCCACAGGCACCTACCTTCTAGAACCCCAGCACTACCTCAAGGCTCCGGGGCCACCACCACCCCCGTATACCCCCTACCAGCCGGTGCCCGGGGCCCCCCAGTACCTCATGCCCTACTTCCCACCTGAGGGGCCTGGGCCCGAAGGCCTGGGCTTTGTAGGCGATGGGGGGCCCCCGACCTTTGTGGAGCTGGCCCCCCCACCCCCCCCCAAGGACAAGCTGCCACCACGGCTGCTCACGCTGCCCGCCGAACCACTGCTACCACCTGGTGCTTATGGCCACCTCGAGGGCAGCCTCAGCCAGTGGGGGCCTGCGGCGGCCACCGCCTGGCCTGCCGAGCCCCCAGCCTTCCCCACCAAGGAGCTGCCAACCGGGCCGGGACAGCTGCCCATGCCGGCTGAGGCCCCAGCAGCGGCCCGTGCGCTGGTGGTGGGTGAGGCCCCGGCAGCCAAGGTAGCCCGCGCCTCGGGGCTGCCCGACAAGGTGCTGCTGGAGGACGCCATGAAGCTCTTCGACTGCCTGCCAGGGCGCAGCGAGCCTGAGGGCGGCCCGCGCAGGCTCCCGGCCGTGGCTGCTGGGCCTGACAGTGGAGGCGGTGGCGACGACTCTTCCGGCGACATCCGCTCGCTGCACCTGCCCGACGAGCTGCTGTCGTTCGACTACAATGTGCCTGAGATCCTGGACGCCGTGTGCAACGCGGACTACCTCAACTTCAAGGCGCTGGATGAGGGGCCGCCACCGCCGCGCCCGGGACCCCCAGCCACTGACCCCCCGGCCCCCTGCCTGCGGCCCGACACGGCCAGCTGTGGCAAGAAGAAGGCTGGCCCCACATCCACCCAGAAGGGCAAGTCGGGTGGCAAGAGCAGGCGGGCCGTGGGCTCGGTGGGTGCCACCCTCCCAGAAGCCCCCCATTAAAACGTATCTGATCTCTCAGCTCATGGTCATCTCTGTGGCCCTGGAGGTCAGGGGGCAGCTCATGAACAGGAAGGGGCTGCCTCCCAGGCAGAGACCAAGTCAAGGGATCCCAGATGCGTGCACGCACATACATACACATGCAGACACGCACTCATGCGCACGCGCGCGCACACGGTTATTTTGGGGCCCGTTCAAGCTCACGGGGGTCCTGTGTGTATCACAAGAGCTGTGCTCTGGAGGTTTCCACAGCTGATCTTTCAGAAGCTCATCACCAGACCTTTCTTCCGAGGGGCCTCTGGGTGGACTTGAACCTCTAGCTCCTGTTACCGGCTGAGCGTGTGAACCATTCGCACCACCGAGGGGCTCCCCTAGATCACAGGGTGCGCTATGGCTGTTGTCTCCCAGTCCTGGAGAGTTGGGGTCACTGTAGGGACGGGTGCAGAGCACTAGGAACCGCCACCTGGCTTCTTGCTCCTAATGAAGGACTCAGCCCTAGGTCTGGTTGGGGTAGTCAAGGCTGCACAGAGAGGGCAGGAACTTGCCTAGAGATACACAGCAAGCAAGGCAGGTCTCAGAGTGGTCCCCGACACTACCACTCCCCACCCCAGCCGCCACTTGTAGCCCTCAGGAAGCCATGGCAGGTGGAGAAGGGTGGGGGCACCTTTGTCCCTGCCATGGGCCAAGACGTGAAGGTGCGCACACATGTTCACGTAGACATGGGATCGTTGGAGCTGGTGGATGCTGGCACGTGTATGCCTTGCAGATGCCGGGCCGTGGGAGTCGGCACCCTCTTGGGAAGGGGACTAAACTCAGAGGGTGGGGGTGTGGAGGGCACACAGGTGAGCAGGCACAGGTGTGCACGTGACGGCAAGCAGCTAAACACGAGCACTAGGTGACAGGCAGAGGTGGGGGGGCGTGACTGTACCAGGCCCAGCCACACCATGGCTCCCATCCAAGGTAGCAAGGACAGCTTCCTGCAGGCTCGGAAATGGGCCTGGGCCCAGCCTTGGGGGCCCTGCCCACACTCTGCTGCCCTAGGGCCATTGCACCCAGAACACCCACCTTGCCCGAGGCAGGGGCTGGCCGTGCCCAGAGGCCACACTGGAGAAGCCACCATCCGCCAGGAAGCAGGGAAGAAAGCAGGAAGCAAAGTGACAGTGACATCTCTGGCAGGACGGGGAACTGGACCTGGACCCCTACCAGCCCCTTGCCCCTGCACAGGGGTTCAGGGAGCCTCTTACCTTGTCCTGGGTGCTCCTGTTTGGGGCCCTTTCCTGGAAGGGAGGCTAGCCTGTGGGTATGCATGCCGAGGGCCATACGTGGGTCAGCTCCTCAGAACCCCTAAACGGGCTCAGGAGGTGGAGAGGACCACACCTCAGGCCTTCCTGGTACCACCTGCAACCGCTCTGAGCACTGGCCC